CGTGAGCACTTTTTCCGAAGTTCAGCTATTCTTTATTCAACTTGATTATGTGTTTAATGTTAAAAAAATCTATAATGAATAGGCCGACAAGAGCGCATCCTGTGTTTGGCGCATCTTTTATAACTGATGCCGCTCTCTTCAAAAACCGAAAGTTGCTTCGTCTGTCTGGCAATATTTTGGCTTTTAATCGAATGAAAAGTTTATTTAGATGAGCCAATATTAAAAATTACAATAAAGTAACTGAGACGTGCGGCCACACATCGAGTCTGAGGGCTGATCTCTCTCTCTCTCTCTCTCTCTCATTCAGACATCGAGCTGCAATACAAGTCAAGTCGCAAAACTTAGGCAGGTGCAGCTGACAGGTAGAATAGCTGAAGTCTTTGCGAAATCTGTCAAAATACACCACTGAAATTAACAGGCATAAATGTCTTTGAGCCAAAAAAGTCTATTGGTAGGATATCTGTAAAACGCAATTGGAGCCAAAGATATGTAGGAGTTGTGTAGCCTATTAATTATAGGCCTATTAATTCGGTCCCACTTTATATTAAGTGGCCTTAACTAACATGTACTTACACAGGATTTAATAGTTTGTTACAATGTACTTATTATGTAAATACATGTATTTACTGTGTACTTATGCTTGATTTAATACATGTTTGTAGTTACATCTGTAATTAACTTTTGTAATTACATTTGTAAATACAATGTTGACCCTCCCTTACACCTTAACCCACCCTTAAACCTACCCATACCACCAAACCTGTCCATAACCTAACCTCTATCCCAACTCAAAAGCACCACAAGTGTTCTCAAATACATCATAAACACAGTAAGTACATTGTATTTATTTTTCTGATGTAAGTACATAGTAGTTAAGGATACTTAATATAAAGTGGGACCATTAATTCTAATAAAATGAAGACCAAAATAAAGAATTCATTGCATTTTTCGTTGGATAAAAATATACGTAAACGAAAAAAAATCAAAGGCTGACTAGTTTGAATTAATGTGTTTTAATATTAATGAAAATATGCTTAGCCTATTTAAATAACGGCTATACGCTGTCAATAGACAAGCCATTCAAAACATATTATTTTACTGTGTACTGGGTTATAATGTATATTTTACAATAAAAACTAAACGTAGCATGTCTTGCTGTCATTTAAAACATGTAATTCATACCACACCAGAGCTGTGGACCTGTACAGTCTATGCAGTGTGTAAACTTACAGGGCGGTGTTGGTCTACTGTCGAATAGTCTTACTGCGAACCGAACTCCAATCCGAGGGAGATTATGTTATTATCCGAGTGGAGATTATTACTCGATAGACAACATTAACGTGAGAGATTTTAAAAATAAAAGGTATTTTTAAAAAGGAACAACACGCAAATCTGCAACAAATAAAACTAAAAATAAAACGTCTTGGCAGTGCTGTGTGTATTCCGCCACTGACAGTGTGAGACGCCCTTATGCTCCGCCTGTAACTGCCTCTTGTAAGAGAGATCAAAGCTGTATCGATATAACCAAAAAGCAAGATCATATCATTATAAATATTCCATAACAATACTTATCGAACTATTTATACATTTACATGTTGTTTATTGAGATTGTGATATCTGAGGTTGTCTGAACTTTACAGAAGCTGTAAACTGACACGTGTGCGGTGATGTTTAGCTCTGAGGAGGCGCTCTTATTTAGCCTGTAGTCTTTACATTTTTTTTTAACATAATGTTCCATTTCTTAACATTTTTTTATTCATAGTTTATATATAAAATGAGTACTAGCTTGTTTAGTTGTGATCATTATGCAAGGATCATATTTCATATTCGGTTTATTCTTCAATAGCCTAAAGATTCGTTAATAGGGTATTTTATAAACAGATTGTTCATAAGGACTAAGCTGTTAATATATAATACAGGCGTTTATGGTTGTTATTTGTATGGTTCCAACTACCACAGTTTTTTCACCATGTAGCATTGTTGTGTTTTATTCGTTATGTTAATAAAAGTTATACTTTAACTTTTTTTTTTTACTTTTTTTTAAGTTATATTTTAACATATATGTTTTGTTTAATAACAGTGAAGTTTCCTTTTCGTCCATTCAAACAATTGACGACGAATTGGCAACTCCCGCAAAACTGAAAGTGAAAGTACAGTATTATACGCACGCATTTATAAGCTATTTAAAAGCAGAAAAAAGAGGAAAAGAAGAAACGCCCACTCACACGATGATAGCGGTATTACCGGTGTTGTCACGTGTCGATTAACCAGTGGGGAAATTTCCTCATCGTCACAACCCTAGTCAGAAGTGGGATTTAACCCACACCTCCAGGGGAGACTGTGACCTGAACGCAGCGCCTTAGACCGCTCGGCCATCCTGACATCTTTTCGGCTTAGTCACTTCATTAATCAGTGGTTGCCACAGGGGAATGAACCGCCAACTTATCCAGCACGTGATTCACAGCGGATGCCCTTCCAGCCGCAACCCATCTCTGGGAAACTTTTTATATAGATACGTTTAAAAAGATTTATAAATAATACTTCCTAGATAAAAGTTCAAAACGTGGTGGCTTTCCCCAATGGGATCAAAGAGAACATTTATTAATATGGATTTTTTTTAGATACAAATGAATGCATACTATTTAAAGGTACCGATCCAGCTTTAGTACAATTTCTGTAAGATAATAGACATGCACAATATTGAATATTTGTTTTTATAACGGAATAATAATTTATGCAGTCATGCACGTTTTGACAGCTAATATGATGATGATTTGATGCTTTGCCAAAGTTTCAGATTTCTTTACAAATATCAAAATGCTTTTTAATGCAAAATTAATTTCAATTCCTTACGCCGATAAGGAAAATAAAATAGGCCTGGGCTACTATAGTAAAGAAAATCCGATCTAAAACGTAAAACTAAATAAATTACTAAATACTCTCGACACATGAAAGTGTAAAGCCTGCAGCCCACAAGCATGAAAAGTTATTGCGTATCATATTTAACGGTAACACTTTACAATAAGCTTCATTAGTTAATGCATTTACTAACATGAACTAATCATGAACAACACATGTACAGCATTTATTAATCATAATTGAACATTTACTAATGCATTAATAACATCAAAGTCCATGCTTGTTAACATTAGCTAATGCACCGTGAGTTAACATGAACTAACAATGAACTACTGTATTTTCATTAACTAATGTTAACTAACATGAACAAATACAGTAGTAAATGTATTGTTCATCGTTTATTCATGTTAGTAAATGCATTAATTAACATTAACTAATGAACCTTTATGTAAAGTGTGACCTATTTAACAAACCGTTCACAACAAAATTTTTGTAATTTTGCTCACATCAGCGAATCGTTACATTGCTGATCATGATTTCAAGGATCGAAATATCTGTCCTATCTGAGATCGCTGCGTGTGTTGTGAAGGACAGATCTATTGATCCTCAAAATCATGATCAGCAATGCAACAATTGGCTGACGGCACAGCAGCGTAATGACATCATCTGATTAATATTCAATTATCCATGTGAGCTAAATTACATAAAATAAGTAGTAAATGGTTTGTTAAACATGATACGCAATAACTTTACACCTTGTTGTGGGCTGCATGCTTTACACTTTCATGTGTCAAGAGCAATTTATTAAGTTTTACAGTTTTTACAGATTTTTTTGATGATCAATAGATCTGTCCTTTACAACTCATGCAGCTATCTCAGATCAGTTCATCCTGACATTTTAATCTGATACGCGAACTTGTTTGAGGAACCAAATTAGCCAGAGATCAGTTTTTAAGATGAACAGATGCAGGATCTGCCAAATTATCTTAGATCATTTAAGCAAGGTATGAAGAACAGACCCCTGACTTCAACTGTTTTTTTTGTCCTCTGCTGATCACATGTCTGAAAAATTTAACTGCAAAAAACTTTTGGTTTTAAAAAACACAATTTAGAACCTTTCCCAGCACTGAGTTTCAGCTGGAAGGGCATCCGCTGCGTAAAACATGCTGGATAAGTTGGCGGTTCATTGAGCTGTGGCGACACTGGATTATTAAAGGGACTAAACCGAAAAGAAAATGAATGAATGAATGTAGAACCTGCAATTTTAATGAAAATAAAAATCAAGAAACAATCAGCTGAATGAAAATAAGGTAAATATTCAACTGTAAAAAATGATTTTTGCTATTGTTGCTGATGATGTATAAATCTATAATCTTCTACAACATATAATATTAATCTTTTCTCATTTTCAATTAAGGAGCAAAAATATACTCTCATGTCATGTTTCATTGCTAGATATGTATCATTTTTGAAGAATATTCAGTGTCATATTTTTGAAAGTTGTATGTGGCCGCCCAATGGTAAATTCGTGTAATTGATAATAAGTGACTCTCAGTACAATACCTACATCTACTAAGAAAACATCTTAGGATTTTAGAAAAGTCTAATATGATGTTGTAATCAGTTAAATAGGCTTTAAAATAGAAGTCAAAATTGCCAAAAAGTGTTCTAGATTACATGAATTCACCTTAGTCGGCTGTATATAATATTAATGTTTATAGTACTCAAAATAAACATTAAAGCTGCTGAAAGAAAGAGCATTAGTAGCTATTAAATGACTAGGGCTAGCTAGGCCAAAAGCACACTTTTTAAATTGAGATGGATGACAGACAGATCTGATCTATGACACATAACTTACGTAGCTTATATCGTGTCTTTTTCTAAAGCTTCTTTTAGATCGAATTAACACATAATCACTTATTTATGAGTCTGCACTGTTATTTTGAAATTATATTGTATTTGACGACGAAGCTAAAAGAATAGAGACGAATAATTTTGCGTACTGTTTATCCATGTACTTAGGCCTGTATCAGTTTTCATATCAGAGACTGTTAAACATGCATCCCTGCGTGACAATTTAAATAACAATAAAACCAGATTTGCAAAAGCATGTTGGCAAGATAACTTGGACGTAACGTTACCTTATCCTCCTCCATTTTGGTCAGGTTCTCCTCAGGTACACCCCTCTCTCTTAGAGCAAAAATAAAGTCCATCTTGACGTATGATTTAAAACTTGATGAATTAAAACACAAAAACAGCACGCGAGCTTTTATCGGGATACATTTAGGCTAACTTTACGTCGAAGATACCGTTTGTACGTACGGAAGTACTTTTGTGAGAAAATAAAAGTCTTGATCAAAACTTTTTGTTATGTCGTGATCACGAGAAAATAAAGTTGTTATGTCGAGATCACGACTAAATTAACTCGTGATCTCGACATAACAACTTAATTTTTTCTCGTGATCACGACATAACAATTTTTGTTATGTCGTGATCATGACTTTATTTTCTCGTGATCACGATATAACAACTTTTGTTATGTCGAGATCACGACTTAATTTTTCTCGTGATCTCGACATAACAACTCTATTTTCTCGTGATCTCGACATAACAATTTTTGTTATGTCGAGATCCCGACTTAATTTTCTCGTGATCTCGACATAACAACTTTATTTTCTCGTGATCTCGACATAACAATTTTTGTTATGTCGAGATCACGACTTAATTTTCTCGTGATCTCGACATAACAACTTTATTTTCTCGTGATCTCGGCATAACAATTTTTGTTATGTCGAGATCACGACTCAATTTTCTCGTGATCTCGACATAACAAAAATTGTTATGTCGAGATCACGAGAAAATTGAGTTGTTATGTCGAGATCACGAGAAAATTAAGTTGTTATGTCGATCGAGATCACGAGAAAACGAATGCCTCGAACTTTAGTATGTTTTTGTACAGTTTGTGTGCATAACGTCCAGGTATTGTCTAATAAAGTATGACAAAATATGAGGAATTGTTGATTTTGTCAAGGACATGTTCTTGTGAGAGTCTATCGTATACGCGGCTGGCCGAAAGTACGATATGCACATCAATATAGCAGGGTCATAAATCCTGCTTTAAGGGATGGAGGAATGATCTAAAGATGTTCGTAAGGTCTCTTCTCTTCATGAGGAACAGAAATGCCTGAGAGCTTTCACATGCCTTGGACTCGTTTCAATTACTGGATTAAGACCCTCACGAGCCCCCTTTTTTATTTTATTTATTTGTTTATGTATTTTTTTGTCTTGTTTTGTTTTTGTTATGTTACCCTTACAAAAATTACCTGCGGTATTTCATGTGGTAAACCATCAAATATACAACACAAAAAGTATGTGGTTAATTTGTAGTACTTCGTTGTTTTTGAGACAGGATTCTGTGTGTTACACCTGTAGTGTTCTTGTGGTAGTATGCGGTATCACTTTCATATCCCTGTAGTATTTACCACAGAATTCTGTTGTACATTATGTAATACCCCTGTGATATTCTTGTAGTAGTGTGAAAAACCACATATTTCATCTAATGGTAAATTCTTGTTATTGTACAGCAGAAATTGCTGTAGTAATTCTGTCATATTTAGCTTTGCTCAGTTGTTGTGTGGTAAATTTATGGTGTAATGCTGAAATACAACAGGATTACCACAGGACATTTTTGTAAGGGTAGTCATGTACTTTTATATCAACACTAACACTATTGGATTGTTAAATATGCCATAATGGTTTGTACTTGAACTTATGTTTATTCATTCATTCATTCATTCATTTTCTTTTCGGCTTAGTCCCTTTATCCAGCACATTTTTACGCAGCTGATGCCTTCCTTGCATCGCAAACGTATGTTTTAAAATTAAATAAATAAATAATAATTATCTTTCATTTGAATGGATGTGATTTTGCCATGTCCCAGACAATATTCAGCCAACTTAAATTAGTATACAATATAAAAATGATAAAATAATTAAAAAAAATATATAGCTTTAAACTGTGTACAAAGAGCTTAAATAGAGAAACACTCTGCAGCTGCAGGTACAATGTGTTGAATAACTGCTATTTTTAGCCAAAAAATGTCCTCCCTGTCATTGCCCACCCTATCACAAATCCTTCTTTGACAGAGTGGACATATACATCGTTACTGACACTTTATTTATTTAGCATTATTGTTAATTAGTTAATGTTTTTATCTTACAACACTTACAGACATGCATACTACACCAGTAAATGCAATACATAAATGGACAATACAAACATTTTGGCTATTTCTTTCTCAGTCTATATAAAGGATAACCTTTTAAAGTCCATATAATGGAGCTCATTGACTGTTTGAAATAGAAATACAGCCCTAAGTATTTGTACATTTATGTTAACATCTGTAATCTAATTATTTACCTCATTCTGAATAAAAAAAATAGAATTAGTGTTGTACAATTTAAAGATTTACATTCATTAGCAAATATAGTTTATTTAAAGAACATTCATTCATTTATTTTCTTTTTGGCTTAGTCCCTTTATTAATCTGGGGTCGCCACAGTGGAATGAACCCCCAACTTATCCAGCATATGTTTTATGCAGCGGATCATTCACACTCATACACTACGAACAATTATAGTTTACCCAATTCACCTGTACCACATGTCTTTGGACTGTGGGGGAAACCAGAGCACCCAGAAGGAAACCCACACCAACATGGGGAGAACATGCAAACTCCACACAGAAATGCCAACTGACCCAGCTGAGGCTTGAACCAGCGACCTTCTTGCTGTGAGGACCAACAGGAATAAAATAATATACAAGGTAAAATACATAAATAAAAATAATGATAATATATGATACAAATCTAAAACAGTTTTTAAGGTTTCCTTTTGATTAAAAATTCTACAATTTTAAAAGGATTCACATTTAAAAATATTTTATTTAAAGTCTCTCCAGATTAAAAAAAAAAAAGTCTAATAAAACTTAAAATAGGGCATTCCACAAGAATATGTTTTACAGTTTGGTTTCATTCCACTGTGGCGACCTCTGATGAATAAAGAGACGAAGCTGAAAAGAAAATGAATGAATAAACAGTTCTCTGTGTTCAGCTGCATTTCAATAACAAATTTTATAAATATATTTTTATAATATTTTGTGTGTGTACCTCAAACATCAACAATTTCAGCTTCATCTGTGTCTGTCTCTATCACTGACTGCTGTTTATCTAACGTAATGCATGAGATGCAGACAAGCACATGGGAGCAGTGGGCTGGGAGAAGTAGTTCATTCGCATTTAAAGCCACAGGCTACAAAAACAGCTCCACTGTACTCAGACATTAACACGAGCAGATTCTGGAGGCTATAATAAATAATCTGAAGGGTATTTTGAGTTGAAACATTATAGCAACATTCTAGAGACACCAAAGGCTTAACTTAAGCCTTAACTTAGAAGAGGTAAAATAGGTGCCCTTTAAATTAAATATTAGATCATGTAAACTCAGTGCATTAACTAATGTTGACAAGCACATTCTTTGTATTTTAATAATGCATTAGTAAATGTTGAACTACGATTAATAAATGACAAGATTATTCATACTTAGTTACTTTTAGTAAATACAAACTAATGGACCCTTATTTTGTTTTTTGAGATAAATAACAGACTTTAAATGACATACAGTTGAAGTTATTATTATTATTAGCCCACCTGTATATATTTCCCCAATTTCTGTTTAACGGAAAGATTTTTTTTTTCGACACATTCCTAAAGATAATTGTTTTAATAACCGATTTATTTTATCTTTGCCATGTTGACAGGACATAATATTTTACTAGTTTTTAAGATACTAGTATTCAGCTTATAGTGACATTTAAGGGCTTAACTAGGCAAGTTAGGATAATTAGACTGTAAAAATTAGAAACAATATTGCTAAAGGGGACTAATAATATGGTTTTTAAAAAGAAAATAAATAAAAACTGCTTTTATTCTAGCCGAAATAAAACAATTTATTGTTACAAGACTTTCTCCAGAAGGAAACATATTATGGGTAATACTGTGAAAAACTTCTTGCTCTGTTAACTTCTTAAACCCAAGTGCTATTTTGGGATTTCTGCCTGGATTTTGGCTACCCACATTTAAAAGCTTCCCAAATTCACATGCAGAGGTGTAAATGCAAAATTTGGTATCATTTTAAAGAAAACCCTTTGAAATTTAATAAAACACTATTGAAAGTGTTTAAAATAACTGTATATGTTGTCTGTATTATAATAAACACCTGAAAAAGATGTGCTTTTTGTAATTTTTTATAAACTCAAATTTGAAAGTGTACCTTTTAGGTTCTGTGTGGTCTAGGTTGCTGTAATACATTTTGGTGGTTCCTGCACATGTTTGTAATCATGGAAAAAAGAAAAATGTCTCTATCATAATCTATGCACAAGTTAATGTATTCCAACTGGTGGAATGGATACACTGCGATTCATTTGACAACTGTTTGATATGCGAATATAATTCAGTAAAAAGAATGCTAGAATCGTAAGAGCACCGTCAAGAGCTTTCATTTGAGCTATAATTTGTACATTTGTCATATGTGGATACCAGCTCGGGTATCCAAAATACTGTGTATTTAAGTGTAAATAACTTTTGTACAGTAGAATAAAAACCAAGGTGAATCATATGTGCATAAAATATAGACTCTACACTTTCAAACAACCCCACTTAAAGGGATCTGGTGTAATGCTAGCCCTTTAAATCTTAAAGGGAAAGTCGATAACGTCATGGACCTCCGCAGGGTTTGTGAGGTTAAACATCATTTGGGAAATATACACAGAAGAAAAATCACAGGAGGCTAATAATTCTGACTTCAACTTTAAGTGGAAAGACATAATAACATCAGTTGCAACTTTTATATTGACCTTAAATGTTACTGCGATGAATAAAACAAGACACATCGATATATGTTACATCCATCTCTATCCTTTAATTATGCTCAATCACACCTCAGAAGAGAATGAAGCGGCCCACTGGTGACCGATACACTTACAACAACACATCCACACTCTGATCAACACTAACATGCATTCGTCTATACGTCTCGCACACATTAGTGAGAGCTGTGCTTTCCTCATCCTCTCACACACACACATACACGCACACGCGATGTAACAGAAGTGGTGAATAGTCCTATCAAAGACACCGCAGTATCCCTGGTAAGATCTAGCTGTGTGGACACAAAAAACCAAGCCTTGTTTTGATTTGAGCGATCATACTGTAGGACTTATCAAAGTATATTAGCATGGATTATAAGTTAAGAGTAATTGAATTACTTTTATTAATACATTGAAAAGCAGCCGCCACCCTCTGTGGCAGGACAGCCAAAGTACCATCAGGGTCCCTCTCACAAATGA